TCCGCGAGAACGGAGGGCGGTGTGGCGCCCCCTCGTGGTGCGGACATCGCGCGAGCGGCCGTGAGAACGGAGGGCGGTGTGGCGCCCCCTCGTGGTGCGGACATCGCGCGAGCGGCCGCGAGGACGGAGGGCGGTGTGGCGCCCCCTCGTGGTGCGGACATCGCGCGAGCGGCCGTGAGAACGGAGGGCAGTGCGGCGCCCCCTCGTGGTGCGGACGTCGCGCGAGCGGCCGCGAGGACGGAGGACGGTGCGGCGGCCACGCGCGGCCCGCCGTCGCCATCGTCGGTGGCGGCGATGTACCGCGCGGAGAGTTACGAGCGAATGCTGGAGTCGTGCGAGCACGGTGACGCGCCGCCGCCGCAGCTGGCCCGCGCGTGTCCGACGAGCGACGGTCGCCATGCCCCTCCTGCACCTCCCGCAGTGCGGGGTCAGCATGAGCAGGGCGTGTACCCACCGTCCACGAGGCACGTGCCGTTGCCGGCCCGACGCACGCCGCCACTTGTCGGTTCGTATAATGCCAGACACACACCGTCACCGGGTGGATCTCATAGCGGATATGCACCGCCACCTGGTGGATCTCATCAGGCCAGACACACACCGTCACCTGGTGGATCTCATAGCGGATACGCACCGCCACCTGGTGGATCTCATAGCGGATATGCACCGCCACCTGGTGGATCTTATAGCGGCTACGCACCGCCACCTGGTGGATCTCATAGCGGATATGCACCGCCACCTGGTGGATCTCATCAGGCCAGACACACACCGCCACCTGGTGGATCTCATAGTGGATACGCACCGCCACCTGGTGGATCTCATAGCGGATATGCACCGCCACCTGGTGGCTCTCATCAGGCCAGGCACACACCGCCACCTGGTGGCTCTCATCATAGCGGATATGCACCGCCACCTGGTGGATCTCATCAGTCCAGACACACACCACCACCTGGTGGATCTCATCAGTCCAGACACACACCGCCACCTGCACAATCTCATCAGGCCAGATATAACCCACCCGTGCCATCCGGCGGCCATTTGCAACCTGGGCATAAAATGAATGAGAGACATCAGTATGTCCAGCACGATTCCTATGCTCCTTCCAGCTACCAATCTAAGGCTTCAAATGCAACCGCCGTTGTTACGCGGTCTGTGGAAAGTGTGCCGGTTAAGCAGGTGGACAGGCAGCGTGATGCAGATGGCAAACACAGCAGGAATAAAAGCAAAGCGATGCAGAGTCGTGCGACTTTAGTTTAAACCTATACTCGAGTGTGTAACACCTTTAGCCCTCAGCTGCTGCAATGTGACCGCGCAAAATATAGTTCCCTTTCATTCTGGCAGTAGCAACTACGGCGATCAGTTTCTTTTGCCAGGAAAACCCTGATGCATAAATGTGCGAAATGAATTTATGTTCATACACACTATATAATATATATATATTATATATATAATATC